TTTGCCCATTTGTGTGTCGATTATTATAATGTCAGTGAGGGTGTGTATGTCACATACTTGGCTAAGAAGTTGCAAGTAATTTATTTAATCATCACAGCAGTTTTGTGAGGGATAGGTTCTTATTTGCCAATGAGGAAGTAAAAGGAACATGAATAGTTAAATAATTTAAATGACAGTGAATGCAAACCTGGACTTGTACCCCTTACCAGGAGTAATATTGAATCTCAGCATAACATTTCAAGTCAATTAAGGGAGAAGGGGTGTAGATTTCAGTCTTTTTTTTCCCTTATCAGTAGTATTGCTTCACATAGAAAGTCAAAAATACAGGCCTTCCGAAGGGGCATTCCTTCTGAAGACGTCTCTTTTTCCTCATCTCTCATTCCCCCCCCCTCCCTTCTTACTTAAATGATTGTTTTAGTAACTACTCTTTGCAGTGCAGTGTATACTATGGGGATATTGAAATTTAGGAGTGTATGTAAACAAAATAAACTCTTGCCTTTGGAGATGTATGTGATTAATGTTGAGTTCACAGATACACTTTCAGAGGGTCAGAGAAATCTTGAAAGAGACTGGGCTTGATACAGAGATTGTGAACTTTAAAGAATTAAGTAATTCCAAAATGACTTCAGAATGTTTACTGCTTAACTGCTTAACACGGTGGTGTGATGTTAGTTATGACCCTCCTTATGAGCCTCCTCAGTTTTGTGTAAGCTGTGCTACATCTGTGTCCTTGCCTTGGTCTTCAGAGGGAGGCTGTTTCCTGCCACTGCTAAGACTTGGGTAGTGGACTGCAACTACTCTGCTCATATGTTGTATTAATCATCTTGCACTGATAGCATGTCTCTTTGCACTGCTGGTATCAACTTTTTGTTGCTAGTAACTGTTTATACTAGGAATTACTATTAAATTTAAAATCAGAAATAGGAAAAGTGGATATAGAATAATTTGTGTTGCACAGAATGCCATGTACCAGAAAGTCCATAAAGATATAATTCTCAGCTCCAGATGGTCTAGTTTTTTCATGGGAAGTTCATTAAAATACAACCTTAGAATGAACTTTTAGCAGTTGTATAGAGCAATAGACTGATTTGATTTGTCTGTTAGTATTGGTGTTTATGTATGTAGATGATGTCTCAACCATTTAAATATTTTGATGTTAATGATTTGAATTGTACTATTATATATTGTCTAAAGATAAAAATATTTGGCCAAATTGAAAATTGCCTCATCCTTTTTTTTTTTTAAAGATTTATTTATTATTTATGCATATGAGAGCTGGGGTACAGGCCAGAGATGCAGTGGGTGAGAGGAGTCACCAGAGACAGAGCAGGGAACAGAACAGGCAGACTGACTGAACTACATTGCTGAGGGGAGCAGTGGGCAAGGCAGGAGAGGTCTGCCGCAGCATGTGGGTTTCTCCCTGGCGCTCTGGGACCGAACTTGTGTTGCAGAGGCTGTGGATTGCTTCATATTGCAGTGCTTAAGCCCTTGCGCAACCAGGGAGGCCCCCCCATCCTTTTTTTTTTTTTTTTTTTTTTTTTTTTTTGAGGGTGAGGAGGCGTATTGCTTTTGTTCAGTGATTCATGAGCTTTCTGGTTTCAAAACCCCTTTTCCTTTTAGAAATTGTTGAAAACCACAAAACACCATTATCAATGGGTTATCGATAGCAAATGTGTTAGAAACTGAGAAATTTTAAAAATATTTACTATACTATAAAATAACAAAACCTTTGCATATTATGAGAAACAATCTTTTGCCAAAACAGAAAAATTTAATGAATGACATTGTTTTACAGTTTCCACATTTTTCTAATGTGTAGCTTAGTAGAAAATGGCTGGGTTCTCATAGTTGCTTTTGCTTCCATTCTATTGTGATACGTTGTTTTGGATGAAGAATATTAAAGAAGATTTGGCCTCACACAGTAACGTACTTGGAAAGGAGAGTGTTTTAATATTTAATAGCCTTTTCAGATAAGTATGGATATTCTTTGATACCACACCCAAACTTGACAAGTAGTTTCATAAAAGTTAGTTTTAATGTGGAATCTAAAGCCATGTTAGTGTCCTTTTCATACTCTGTTACATTAAAATTCATTTACTCTCACTTGGACTGGCTTTGACCCATGCATGAGATCCTAACATTCATTGGTCATTAGGTCGTTCACTGAGTTCTGCAGCTTTTCCAAATGTTGACACATTTCACCAATTACATGGCATCAAAAATGCACATTCATTTATATAATCACTAATTACTTAATCAGAAATGACTTTTTAAAGTATGTGGAAATGTTGGGATTCCTGGTCATAGGTAACGAGTTTTCAAAATACTTTTGTTTGAAAACTCGGATTCTATCATTGGTAATAAAAGTGGTTTTTTCTTGAGTCACAGATTCACATTGTTCATTTTCAAGGAAATTTCTATTAACTACTCAAGTCTGAATAACCAGAGCTTTTTAGTCATTTCTGGCAAGTGAAAATAGTGTTTCATGGTGGGGGGGTGGGGGGGAGGATCTTCTAGTACAGTTTGCAACTTGGTTTATTTTTTTTTTTATTTAAACATTTATTTATTTATGCATATAAGAGCTGGGGCACAGGCCAGAGATGTGGGGGGTGAGAGGATTCACCAGAGACAGAATGGGGAACAGAACAGGCAGACTGACTGAAATACACCGCTGAGGGGAGCAGCGGGCAAGACAGGAGAGGTCTGCTGCACCATGTGGGTTGCTCCCTGGCCAGCCGGGGATTGAACTCGTGCTGCAGAGGCTGTGGATTGCTTCATAGTGCGGTGCTTAACCCTTTGTGCCACCAGGGAGGCCCTGCAACTCAGTTTATACCAGTGCTTTTCCCCCACAGAAATGCTGTGGGTCCTTTCCCTTTCATCACAGAATATTTTCCAAAATGTACATCCTCAACAGTTGGGATTTAATAAAGTTAATAATTTTTACTATTTTATCAAGGAAGTTGTAAATGGAATTGACCTTTATTTTATTTTATTTTTTAAAGATTTATTTATTTATACAAGCACTGGGTACAGTCAGAAGCACGGGAGGGTGAGAGAATTCACCAGAGCCAGAGCAGGGAACAGAACAGGCAGACAGACGAAATACATTGCTGAGGGGAGCAGCAGGCGCGGCAGGAGAGGTCTGCTCACCATGTGGGACTCTTGCTGGTGGCCGGGGATCAAACTGGTGCTGCAGAGGCTGCAGGACAGCTTTGCAGCCCAGCGCTTGACCGCTGCACCACCAGGGGAGGCCCTGACCTTTATTTTAAACTGTAAATGAATTGAGAATGCACAATGACTGTTAAGTATTTTTTTTTTTTTTTAAGATTTATTTGTTTATACACTGGGGCACAGTCAGAGGTGCGGGAGGGTGAGAGGATTCAGCAGAGATAGAGCAGGGAGCAGAACAGGCAGACAGACTGAAGACACTGCAGAGAGGAGCAGCAGGTGGGGCTGGAGAGGTCTGCCGCACCATGTGGGTTTCTCCCTGGCAGGCCGGGAATCAAACCCACGTTGCAGAGGCTGCGGGACAGCTTCACAGCGTGGCGCTTAACCTGCTGCGCCACCCGGGAGGCCCTGTGAAATATTTTGGTGCCTCTGCCTTGATTTGTGCTTTGAGGTACCAGCACTTTTGCTCATATTTTGTTTTGCACCCTCAATTGCATATGTCATCACTACAAAGAAAGGGGGCAGATAATATTGTAATATAACCATGAAAACAGCTTTGATCTTGTGGACCCTCAAAATATCTTCGAGATCCCCAGGAGTCCACAAATCACGTTTTAAGAACTGCTAGCTTAGTTCTTTACATAGATTTCATTTTGCTCATAGACCAAATAGATCAGAGTGGATGATGAAGAGGCAGATGATTGAGGTTGAGGTTTTTAGGTTGAGTTAGTAAATGAAGACAATTGCCATTACCTGAAAGAATGGATGTAGGTGAGGAGTAAGTGTGTTGGAAGGTGAAAGCGAATTTTGCATTTCAGGGCATTTGGGAAACACAAAGATGGGAATGTTGATTATTGTAGCTCAGCAAACGTTTTTCTGAGCTTTAAGAGACCTCCCTGTGCTAGTGGTTGTTGCCAAGAAAGTGAGTTGAGAGCAGGAGGGGACCTTGATATCAAGAATAGCAGCACTTCAAGAAGAATGGGTGGTGAGCATTACCTCAGTGTTTCAGAGAAATCAGGTAGACTGGAAACTGAGACATGACCATTGGATTTGATAATGAGATTGCTGGTGACCTTGGCCTCAGAGTACTGTGAGTACAAGCCCCACTATCGAAGAGCCAGGAGTGCAAGGGCGGCTATTTATCCTGTTCTTTGAAGAAGTTTTGGGGTAAAGAGAAAGACCCGACTCACTGGACAATGATTTGAGAGGTAGGCTGCACTTGGGGACAGGAGAAGAAAAGAGGGGAAAAAAGGCTGAAGCAAACTGTTGCTAACAGCTGTGATTCAATTAAGTTTGAAGTACAGTCTGTACTTAAGGAGAAGTGAGAAGTTGATCAAGACTGTGCTTCCTTGGCCAGAAAAATGCACAAATTGATGACATTTATTTAGCATGTAAACTTTTTGGTGAGGATGGGAAGTTCCTTCCTAACTGTTTTCTGTTTGATTGCTAGGTGTTTTCAAGTTTGCTTTATATTCAAATTTCAAGAAGTTTTTACAGAGGTTTTTTTTTTGTTGTTTGTTTTTTTTTTTAAATGCAGATGGTTGAACTTTAACAATCTGGGATTCTCTCAGAATGGGAACTTCTGTTTGGGCTACTTTTAGTCTGGTAACAAGTGACAAAAAGAAGGGTGCAATTCTTTCTCTTGTGCAGGGATTGTGCGCCCCTCCCATTCACCCTACTTGAAAGATAGACCCCGGATGGTTTGACGTTTTGACTGTTTTCTTTCTGAAGGCAGTTTGGAGTGCAGCCTCCAGTAGTGTTTGTATTAAAAACATGTGTGTTGTTTCTAATGTGCTTGTAGTTCTAACTTCCTTTTCTTCTTTCTCTTCTAGTCTGTTCTCTGGGGAGGCAGCAAGGGGCCGTGGAGCTGGCCTCGGCACTGGGAGAGGCTGGACTTCCTGTCTCTCTGTGCTGAATGGCTGCGATGGCGCCCGCTCTCACTGACGCAGCAGCTGAAGCACACCATATCCGGTTCAAACTGGCTCCCCCATCCTCCACTTTGTCCCCTGGCAGTGCCGAAAATAACGGCAACGCCAACATCCTTATTGCTGCCAACGGAACCAAAAGGAAAGCCATTGCTGCAGAGGATCCCAGTCTAGACTTCCGAAATAATCCTACCAAGGAAGACTTGGGAAAGCTGCAACCACTGGTGGCATCTTATCTCTGCTCTGATGTAACATCTGTTTCCTCAAAGGAGTCATTGAAATTGCAAGGTGTCTTCAGCAAACAGACAGTCCTTAAATCTCACCCTCTCTTATCTCAGTCCTATGAACTCCGAGCTGAGCTGTTGGGGAGACAGCCAGTTTTGGAGTTTTCCTTAGAAAATCTTAGAACCATGAATACGAGTGGTCAGACAGCTCTGCCACAAGCACCTGTAAATGGGTTGGCTAAGAAATTGACTAAAAGTTCAGCACATTCTGATCATGACAATTCCAGTTCCCTCAATGGGGGAAAACGAGCTCTCACTTCATCTTCTCTTCAGGGGGGTGAAGTGGTGGCATCAGAATCTGGGGACTTAAAGGGGGGTATGACCAATTGCACTCTTCCACATAGAAGCCTTGATGTAGAACACACAACTATATTTAGCAATAATAGCACTGCAAACAAATCTGTAAATTCCATGGAACAGCCAGCACTTCAAGGAAGCAGTAGGTTATCACCTGGCACAGACTCCAGTTCTAACTCGGGAGGCCTCAAGATAGAGGGTAAAAAGTCTCCCTTGTCTTCCATTCTTTTCAGTGCTTTAGATTCTGACACAAGGATAACAGCTTTACTGAGGCGGCAGGCTGATATTGAGAGCCGCGCCCGAAGGTTACAGAAGCGATTACAGGTTGTGCAAGCCAAGCAGGTGGAGAGGCATATACAGCATCAGCTGGGTGGATTTTTAGAGAAGACTTTGAGCAAACTGCCAAACTTGGAATCCTTGAGGCCCCGGAGCCAGTTGATGCTGACTCGAAAGGCTGAAGCTGCATTGAGAAAAGCTGCCAGTGAGACTGCCGCTTCCGAGGGACTTAGCAACTTCTTGAAAAGCGATTCAATTTCAGAAGAATTGGAGAGATTTACCGCTAGTGGTATAGCCAACTTGAGGTGCAGTGAACATGCGTTTGATTCAGATATCACTGACAGTAGCTCTGGAGGAGAGTCTGATATTGAAGAGGAAGAACTGACCAGAGCTGACCCTGAGCAGCGCCATGTACCCCTGTGAGTAGAACCCACGCATAATGTCATTCATGAAATGTTGGGATAAAGGAGAAAGACATGGTGAATCTCCATAATGGCAAGAAATGAAATTCTTTGTAAAAAGGTGTCTAAGTTCCATTTACCTTTTTCCTAATTTTAAGTGGGAGGGTGCATATACCTGCTAATCAAGAAATGGAAGATATTTCTCGGATAGTGTTGTGTTGCTATAGGCTAATAACTCCTAGTTTCCCATTGAAATTTTATTTATTAAGAAAAGTCTAGAAGGCATCCTAGTTTTGAAACATTTCAGACTGCATAGATACCTTTTGAAATTGTACATAGGATATTCTTTATATGACTTTAGATTTTGTTGTTTCTAGTAAGTGGGACACAGTTAACTTTGCTGGAATTGGTAGTTGCTTTTAATTGAGCTTTTTTATAGCAGAGAATGTACCCAGTCTGCAATTTTAGCACTTGAGATATTCTTAGATTTTTTAAGACTTAATAACCAGAAAATGCTTCAGAGTATTTTATAGGTTGCCTCCAAGCACAGCCTGCATCTACAACTTGATTCTCTTCCTGAAAGAGCTCCCCCCCCTTTTTTTTTTTAAAAAAAAGTCATAGTTCTCTTGGATAAAGTAAATGTATTGACATACTTGGGATACTTACTTGTTTTTCCAAATTTTATGGTTTGATGAACATTCCACAGTAAACTTTTCATGGGTGGCACTCCTGCAGCCAGAGGTGCTTCACCATGATGTTTGTTTGTTTGTTTAAATATTTATTTATTTATACAAGCACTGGGTACAGTCAGAAGCTCGGGAGCGTGAGAAGATTCACCAGAGCCAGAGCGGGGAACAGAACAGGCAGAGTGACCGAAATACACTGCTGAGGGGAGCACGGGTGTGGCAGGAGAGGTCTGTCGTGCCATGTGGGATCCTCGCCATAGGCCGGGGATTGAACCGGTGCTGCAGAGGCTGTGGGCAGCTTTGCATCCCAGCGCTCAACCGCTGTGCCACCAGGGGAGGCCCACCACCATGATGTTTTAAAAAAAATTTTTTTTTCATCATGGTCTTACCTCCTAATCCTGCTTCAGTGTCCTCAGGGATAAACAAGGAAGTAAAATATGTCTCCTTTAACATAAATCAGTCATTTATCTACTTACAATTGTTAGATTTATGAGAAAGGGAACCATGACAACTTGGAAAAAAGGACAGGAGAACTGACTAATAGATCCTTTTTCATTTTCTCTTTGGGTAAGGATGTTGTAAAGGTTGGATTACTAGAGAAGACTGAAAAAAATGGATGTCTTAGAAAAGTTGGCTTTTCCTTATCTGTAGTAAAAAGGTCACTAAGATTTTCACTGGACACTTTATTAAGATGGCCATGCTTCTGAGCCATTAGTAAATTTCCTTTTTTTTTTTTTTTTTTTTTTTTAATTTTGTCTATACTGTCCCCATAGATAACACTATATCTGAACATGAAATTTAGGTTTATGTTTCTATTTTGAGGGGGGAAATCTGGAAAATTTTGCTGAATTTCTTCCTGCTAGACCTAGTTCCATTGCTGTTTGTTAGTAACTGTTCTTAAGATCTAAAGCAGATGTATTTCAGGGGCTTGCTATTGCAGTAACAGTTACCTTTTCCTTAAATTGCATTAGTAGCTTAAATCAACTTGCCAGTATTTGTAACATTCCCTGTGACTTTGCTTTAAATAGTACTTTTAAAAGTTTTGGGTAATGTTAAATATTTTCTGCTTAAGCGTAATTTCATAAAATAATGTAGTTGAAACATTTTAAATTTATCTACTTATTTTGTGAAATTGAGGGAAAAAATCTAGTAACCATAAGCTTTTTGTTTTCAGAATACATTATATTAAAAACATTTCTAAGTTTTGGTAATATTGTGGGTAAGTGAAATCAAAATACCTTTAGGGAGAACTTCTCTTATTCATCTAATAATCTAGTGATTTGAAAAAACCTGTTAGTTCATTGATTCACTCTATTCATTCTGGGCTTTCTTGTCCCACATGATTTGTTGATTGGAAAGGTGTGAAGTATAAGGATAACTAAGGGATCATATTAGGAAACTTTCAAATCAGTTGAATCATCTTAGAATTAAGTTAACTAAGTAATGCTTTAAACAGTTGAATTTCCAGGCATCAGATCATATTAAATTCAGGAAGATTTGGACACCCAAGTGTACTGCCAAGTAAATATACCTTTTGCACATTATATATAATTAAATTTAAAACCACCAATAAAGCATACTTACTTAAAAGTTCTTGTTGAGCAAGGTTACCAAATTGACTCTGAAGGCTGGTATGTCATCCTGTGTTTGTTGACCTTCAGAGTATTTTAAAGATTTTCAGAGTTGGCCAGATGATTTGAGTGTGGAGGCGCAGGTTTAATTAAAAAAAAGAAAAGGGAAATTTTTTGGATGCTGAGAAGACTTTTCTTTGTGATTTAATACTCCCTCTCAGATCTCATAACCACATTTCTTGAGTTCTAATAAGAAATTAACTTTTTCAGGATTGACCCAATTTGGTGAATTTCAGCTCTTGTGGCCTGGCCTTCTAGTAGCATGCCTAATATTTCATGTCTTTGCTGAAGTATTTCTGCTAGACTTAAAGTCACTAGATTTAGTCTAGGTATCCATGATTAAAATATTTAGTGAGGAGACTGTTGAATTGTTTTTTAAATGATGCTGCTTAAATTTCAAGTGAATGGCTCTGTGAAAATTCCAAGCTCTTCACCAAGAATTCATTGTGTGATTCCCCCCTGCCCCCTCACCTTGTTCTAGGCATATGCTAGAAGTAGCAGAATGACTGATCTTTATATGTAGTTGAAATTTTTGGCAAATTGTATGTTACAGTTTATAATTTGTGAATTCTACATAAGACATGTTAGAGTTCTTTCCCTTGATTAATTTTTTAGTTTGATCTTATGTTTAGGTTAAAACTGTCATACCTTTTTGTTTTAAACTTTTTGGAAAATCTTCCTAAACTTTATATAGTTTCCTGTCTTGGCACATGGAACTGCTTTGAAAATTTTGTTTTATATTGGGTTTGACCTATATCATTGTTTAGTAACATTACTGTGGGTGGAGTAGGGATTTAAGTGTCATCTCCTTGAACTGGAACTGGTAGGAAACTGTTTCATTATATCTTAATGCTTATTTTTTTATTTAGAAGTAAAAGTGAAAGTGCTTAGTTACCGTAAAATGTGTAATAGTTGAGTGTGTGCTTGTGTGTTCTTTTTTCTTTCTTTTTATTTTTCTTTATAGTCCTTCCCTTTCCCCACCTAAAGAGTTTTCCCAGACCCATAATTCATTTTGTTAAATTTTTGGTTTACATTTACTTGGTTGTTGTGGTTATAAACTTAACATAGAAGGTATACTTTCCAGATATTTTCTTCACTGTATTCTTAGATCAGCAGCATTCTGAATACCTGGACCGTGTTATGTAGATCTCTCTCCCTCCCACCCCCAATATTTTTCCTCCCTCATCTGTTAGTATATTCTTATCTTGAGGGTTAGTAGACAAATAACCCAATGAAATGTTTCATTGCGCCTACTGAAATAGTGAGGATGTCAATCCTTATATGACCTGGGGAAGAAAAAGACACCACCAAGAAGGAATGTACATAGCTCTCCCAGGTGTTTAGTCTGTTTTTATTCCCCAGACACTGTCGTTTGTGTTGTTCACTGGGTTCCTCTTTTCCTGTTGACTGGAATTTTGACAACTCAGCTTTTAGGTCTTACTGTTGTACCTTTTTAAAAACCTTGTACCTGTCTTGCTCTCCCTGTTCTTGTTTTATTTTTATGCCATTATTTTTGGTTTAACTTATGCTAGCCTCTCTCGGGTGGTAGATACCTGAAGTCTATTCCACTTCAGGTGAAAATACAGTAGATGCTCAGTTGAGTGACACTGAGAAAGTTATTTGGATTTTGGATTGTCTTAATTGTAGTGACTTTACTTTGGGGGAATTTCACTTTTTTTTTTGCGTTATTAATGAAGACTTCAGTGCATAATGAATTACTGCTGTGCTTGTACATTTTACTTTTTAGGTACCGCAGAATGTTTTGTGATATAATTCTTACTTGGATTTATTATGTGTACATGGATGAAAATGTCTAAGGTGACTGTCACCTAGACTGGTTCTTATTTTCCTATTTACTAGAAGGCCAAAGGTCTAACTAACCCTTCTCTGCTGCAGACTAGCTGTAGGACTTACTTAACTGTTTTTCTAATAAAATTAGGAAATTGAACTTTATGATCACTAGGGCTCAAGCACTCTGACCTGTGATTGGTGACGCCGTTATCAGCACTATTTTTTGCATTGGGGGATACTGAAGCAAAATTCCCTGTAGGTCACTGTTAGAACTTGAAACAAAACAGCTTTCTTGGCTTAAGACTAAGAACTTTGATTCTTTTCTAATGGCTTAATTTTTTTCTTCATAATTAAGGTAATTTTTGCATTTCCTATTGTCTGTGCTGGATATGTGGGTATAGTCCCATTATGTTTTTTTTTTTTTTAATAGAGGCATGTTTTATTTGTTTGTTCGTTGTTTTTTTTTTTGTTTATACATGCACTGGGTACAGTCAGAAGCGTGGGAGGGTGAGAGAATTCACCAGAGCCAGTGGGGGGAGCAGAGCAGGCAAAAGGACCAAAGTACACTGCTGAGGGGAGCAGCGGGCGGCAGGAGAGGTCTGCGCGCCATGTGGGACCCTCCTCCGGTGGCCGGGGAGCAGCCGGGGATCGAACCGGCGTCGCAGAGGCCGCGGGCAGCTTCACAACCCAGCGCTCAACCGCTGCGCCACCGGGGAGGCCCTAGTCCCATTATGTTTTTAATGGAAGTTACTTCAGAGCTGGGTAAATTTTGTTGAACACCTTTTGACTTAATGGCCCTTGTTGTTGTTGTTTTTTGCTAGCATGCATATGACATCCAGTGGCAGAAATAGGAACTTCTGCATTTTTTCTTTCTATTCCCTATCTTTTTTTTTTTTTTTTTCCCCTGAGA